ATCGGAAGGTGAAGAGGGATTGCCTCAGAGCTCTGATTGTAGATTTATGTAAATAGGCTCATGGTGTAGCAAACATTTAGGGAAAGCATATTATATCCAAACAAATCGGGGAAGGCCTTATTAAGTAGACAAAATTAGGCTATAAGAAGTAGGTAGATTTGCAGCCAGATATCTTTCTATTCTAAGTGTTTTGGTGACTATCGCGACTCGTAGCGTCTGCTCTGATGATATCTATCACATAGCGGACGAAAGCTCAGCAAGGGTTCATCAAGCTGGTAGGAGGGTGCGCCAAAGATATATTTGTACAAATCAAGATCCACAGCCCTGAGGCAATCTCCTTTCAGCTCCTGGTAAAACCACCTCTTTAAACAAAATGAAAGATCATTCAACATTAATATAATAGGGAAATCTTCGAAACCTAGTTTTTATACATAAATAAGTTGAAGAAAACATTTAGCTTATCGGAAGAAGAACTAGTAGATCCAATGAAATAAGTAATCAAAAGATTGAAGTATAAATTCTAACGTATCTTAAAAATGACGGCAGAGTTTCTAAACTATTAGAATATCACCATTACGGATTAGGCTCAATAACGGTCCGACAATCAAAAGTTTAAAAGATTAATTTCGCCAGAATGGTAAAATTGACTCTTTTTGGTTCTTTATTTTAGTAGATTATGGTAGTTATAAAAACTAAACTTGGGAGAGGAACTTAAAGAAATATCAAAAAATCAACTTGTATGAGATAAACGGTCACATAGACTAATAAAAAGACTAAAATAGTATTCCTAGTTGTAAACTTTTCTATTTCAATAATTATTTGCCTAAAAATCAAAAACTTCTATGCTTCTGGCATTTCTTTAAGTTAATACTTTAAATTGTCGTTGTTATAGTTTTGGTTTAATGCGCGTCATCAAAAAGTGTAGTTAGCCTCTTTTGGTTAAGAATGGCTCGATTAATTAACCCTTCAAAATACTATTCTAATGAAGAATGGGCTCATAGCAATAATTTTAACTATGCTATTGCCGAAAAAGAGCGTGAAAATGCTACGGCATTAGAAAATGAAATTGATAGGCTAATTGATGAGACTAATAAAAGAACTGATAATACCCTAGCAGATGTCAATAAAAAACTTGGTAAGAATCTAAAAATAATATGTTTTAGATCAAAGACTAAATGACATTAAATTTTGGAAGGATGAGATTAATAAGAAGCTGAGTGATTTAACTGATGAAACTAAACAACTTGATCAGTGCATTCCACGCCTTATAAAGGCACTTGAAGCAACGGATGAACCTCTTCACTTTGCGGAGCAATGTGTCTTGAATAGGTTATATTTTTTTAGAATATTTTTTCAGAGAGGGAAGGAAAGGCATTGATCTTGTCAGTGATGACGCTCATAAAAATTTACTAAAAGAAATAGATATTTATACCACTGTGCAGGATCTTCTCAAAAAATGCATTGAACAGGCTGATGAACAAATTAGGTTAAGATTTATACCATCCAATTTTGACCTATGTTTTGTTACAGACTTAACCGTAAATCCATATATATCCTCAAGAAAGATTCCACCGATAAACTCGAAGCCCAGCATATTGAAGAGTATGGTAGGAACCTTAAAACAAATCATGAAGTTCGAGAAGAAGGAAAGTTTTTATCTAGTAAAAAGTAGGTTGTTTAATTTACTCTAAAATTAGGTCATTTACCCCAGAAGAATGGCAAAATTCCGCTGCTGATAGAGTTCTCTCGGCTGATTCTCAAATTAAAAACTCAAGAGATCTTCGAAGTACCTTGGATGGAACTCTACAACAGGTAGCAACTGACCAGAGGAATCAGGTTGAGGCAACAAATCTAGCTCTTGCGAAACGTATTTCAGAAACAAGAAATGCAAAGGGCGAACTGGAAGAGCATTTGGCCCTGGTGAGAAAATTAATGAAATACCGTTTTTATAAAGATTTTAACTACTATCTATAGTAAAATCTTAATTTTTATATATTTTTGTAATAAAATATCATGAGTTAAAATAAAAAAATAAATTAAACATAAAATCTATTTTCATACATTGGTCTTGAAAACAGCTGACACAAATAATAGTTCTATATTTCTGCTTCATTATTTAGTACTTAACCGATTTATTCATAACATATAGTAATTAAGATCATTGTGAAAATCAATTATTTAGGTTATATGCTGTAGGTAAATGCAAATAAATTCTTA